ACACACACACACACACACACACAATGTGCAAAACTCCGCATTTTAACAGTCAATAGCAAATACTTAAACTTGTAACAAAACATACTTACAGTAGCTGATTCAGAAACGCCAGATTGTCATAGCAAAGTCAGAATTACCTCCTCACCTCGGTTCACGAAACGGCCGTCCATAAAATGCATTGCTGTTCTGTTGTAAGTGATCTTAAAGATTCCTAAATGCATCTACTTTCGGAAGGTCAAATAAAGTGCTTTTGCTTTCGCCTAGAAACACACAGCGTCTCCCTGACATGGCTGCTTCAACACTAACTGCGGTTACTAAAACCACGCCTTCTTTCTTTGCGTGAACATTTGGGCGGCATTATGCAAATCTTCCCACATAGTGACCTAGATATGTGGGGGTGTGTTAGAACGAGCCATTTTAGGGGGGCGTGGCAGAGTCTTAACTTTGATAAAGAATATCTCTTTGGTTTTGAGACTTTAGTCTTTGCAACTTCAGGGATCTTATCTATGCACAATCAGCTTGTAACACTCCAAAGAGAAAAGAAAACTTGAAATCGCATCATATGACCCCTTTAATATACTTCAAAACCATTAAATACTAAAAATATTTACTGTTCAAGTTATAATTATATAATTGTTCAAGTGAATTAAAATAGACTATTTTACCCAACATTTGTGTATACTATGTATTTTTATGCTGTTTCGAGCATCATGTTGTAAGCTTGGCAGCATACTAATGCCAAAATGTATTTGAGTTTAGTCAAGGCTTTACGTTAGGAGTGCTTTTTGTTGCTTCTTATGTAGAGTGCTCTAAATCAGTCATTTAAGAATTTATTTTTCAGTTAGGATGTCTTAAAAGGCAGCAGTGTATGCATGCAGTACACTTGGTTTTGGAATAGAGCCATTCATCCTCACTATTTGGCCATTCTGTAATGGGTATGTAGAGTCTCACCAGTTGGTGTAGAGGCTGGTGATGGTTGGTTCTCCGTGGCTGTCGAGGTGTTGGGTCTGCTGCAGCAGCACGTTGTTGAACACTCTAGTGATGTCAATCTGCACGTAATTCTCGATAGACTGCAGCACTGTCATGTAGGCCCGCACACTGGTGAGCAGCTCTGATGGTTTGGCGATTTCCTGTGTGGCCTGGTTGTACATGGTCATCCCGACTATGGACCTGAGAGACAGTTACAGAAACAGTCAACAAGCACTGAATAACAAAAATGAACCACCCCTACTGACTTTAACATATGTCTCTTGTTTTTTTTTTCTGCACATGATTAATTGATGCATGCAATGCTAAAGGAACAAACTGCTTGTTCTCATAATATTTTATCAAAATGCAACCTTCTACACCTCAGAAATATTTCTGCTGATGTAATCAAGACCAAGTAGCAAGAAAAAATATTTGGATTGATTTTATATATATATATATATATATATATATATATAAGTTGGGAGATGGGAGAAAGTTGTAGAAAGTCAACCATCACTGCAGCCCTCCACCAGTCGGGGCTTTATGGCAGAGTGGCCCGACGGAAGCCTCTCCTCAGTGCAAGACACATGAAAGCCTGCATGGAGTTTGCTAAAAAACACCTGAATAAGATTCTCTGGTCTGATGAGACCAAGATAGAATTTTTTGGCCTTAATTCTAAGCGGTATGTGTGGAGAAAACCAGGCACTGCTCATCACCTGTCCCAACAGTGAAGCATGGTGGTGGCAGCATCATGCTGTGGGGGTGTTTTTCAGCTGCAGGGACAGGACGACTGGTTGGAATTGAGGGAAAGATGAATGCGGCCAAGTACAGGGATATCCTGGACGAAAACCTTCTCCAGAGTGTTCAGGACCTCAGACTGGGCCGAAGGTTTATCTTCCAACAAGACAATGACCCTAAGCACACAGCTAAAATAATGAAGGAGTGGCTTCACAACAACTCTGTGACTGTTCTTGAATGGCCCAGCCAGAGCCCTGACTTAAACCCAATTGAGCATCTCTGGAGAGACCTAAAAATGGCTGTCCACCAACGTTTACCATCCAACCTGACAGAACTGGAGAGGATCTGCAAGGAGGAATGGCAGAGGATCTCCAAATCCAGGTGTGAAAAACTTGTTGCCTCTTTCCCAAAAAGACTCATGGCTGTATTAGATCAAAAGGGTGCTTCTACTAAATACTGAGGAAAGGGTCTGAATACTTAGGACCATGTGATATTTCAGTTTTTCTTTTTTAATAAATCTGCAAAAATGTAAACAATTCTGTGTTTTTCTGTCAATATGGGGTGCTGTGTGTACATTAATGAGGAAAAAAAATTTACTTAAATGATTTTAGCAAATGGCTGCAATATAACAAAGAGTGAAAAATTTAAGGGGGTCTGAATACTTTCCGTACCCACTGTATATATATATATATATATATATATATATAAATAAAATCAATCCAAATGAATAAACACTCCAAAATTCATTTCTTATCTTATATAATTTCCTACTAAATGTTCAGTTTCACTCAGAAATAGCTCCCATTTAAAAGTCCTTAAATTCAACATGAAATGCTGCTTGCAACCCATTAAGTTTAAAGTATTTGAAAGTATTTAAGTAAAGCATTTTTAAGTTTAAACCCATTAAGAGATTATCATTATATAAATTATAATGATGATAAACAATCAGTGCTATTTTAACATCACTAAGATACTATATATTATATATTACTAGGTATTATAGTTTTTATTTAATATTTTGAATCAGTTTATATTTTCTGTTTTCATTTTAATTTGAGTTTTTTCTGTTGTGTGTTTTTGTCATTTTTAGTTTAAAAAAATATATATGTCTACATTGTTTTTATTGTTTTAGTTATTTTAGTACATCAAGTCAAAGTAAATTAAGTTGAGAAATGTTGCTTTGGCAACTAGCTGAATTAAAAAAGATTTTAGATTATATGTTCATTTAACGTTTATTTCAAGTTTTTTTTTCTTTATAGTTTTAGTTTTTGTTTCAGCTTTAGTTAATGATAAACCTGTAAACAATAAACCTATAGTAGCAGAATATTTCAGAGCAAAACAGGATATTGTATGAGGGAAAAATGTAGAGCAAAAAACATGAAGTTTTTGTTATGACATTTTGATAAAGGCTTATGAAGACAAAAAATTTTTTGGGGGGGAATAACATGCACCAATGAATCATTCACAGTAAGACCTTGAATATATGTTAAGAAAGTAAACGGTCAATTTGGACTTGGTTATGTGGTGTTGTTTAGAGAGCAATGGTGGCCACTATAAACAGATCCATAACAACAATATATTTTTTTATGCTTTGACCTGAATCAAGGCTATTTACCCTGTCAGATGGAAATGGGTAATAACAGCACATGGTTGGGTGGTGAGATCTGCTAACAGGGCCTCTCAATGCTGAGAAGCATGGCCACATGAGGGGTTCACAGCCCGGGAGAGAGGGGCCAGCCAATGCATCCACGTCAGAGTGTTGAATCCAACAGTGGAAAATCCCTGTTATTCTTCTGCCTGATGTTTATTTAGTTGGACAAGTGCTATTCTGGAACTGTGTCAAAAATCACGCTAACCCAAACTCTCACTGCTAGTCCAATAAATTACATAAATCGAACAATAAACAATGGCTCTTTAAGCCATTGAGTTCTTAGCTTAATTAATAAAGGAGAGCTGGACAACAATTTTCCTTGACACAGAATGCAACAGTAACTCTCCCCTATGAGGCAAATCAAAATGATTGATGCTAGTGCAGAACGAGTGTGCATAGACCTCATCATGAAGGAAGGACTGTGGGTAATATAATTAGTGGTCGACCGATATATCACCAAGGCTGATATATCAGCATGGTTCTCCTGTTTGGCTGATGCATTCGAGGCAGGACTTTTATTTTGACGACGCTGCACACACACAGTGCTCACATTCTCCCTCTTGTTCGCTGTTGTCATTAACAGTTCTGTCTAAATACGGATAGAAGTCTGTCTTATAATCAGATAGAACGGTTAAACAAAGGAATTAAAATGTATACAAAAAGTCTTATAACGATTGCTTTTATATTGTTAGTAATAGAAAGGCAAACCTTATAATACTTTCTTGTTTGCCATCAGCATTCAGCAAATACGCATTTATATCATTTAAACAAATCTTTGAATGTCAATAAACATCTAATTTCAAAAACCTTGCAAACTTAGTCGGATCCAGTTGTGAGATCTTGTGAAGTGTTACCCAGAATACTGAGTGCCTTGTTGGTTACAGTTTACACTTCCTTTTTAATTATATTTTTATTAAATATTTATTTATGAAAAATACTTTGTCATCTAAAGTATAAGTATGTTTATTTAACACATTTATTTTTTTTTATCAATTTTCAAATGATTTAAAATGTCTTAAATATTAATTAAAATAAATAAAATTATATCGGCCATTCTGCTTTCCAAGATATCGGCAGTCAAAAAAAAACAATATCGGTCGACCACTAAATGTAATAGATAAAACGAGCAGTGATGTATTTATGCAGATAGTGGCCTCTCTATATATATAATATAAAACATATTCTAAATGCATAATTTTTTTAAAATTATATAATATATATTCTTAATATAATAATACTTTTTTAATTTTGTAATATATATTTTACATTTATAGAAATAGAAACTTAAAATAGAAATTAAATTAAAAGTGGTACTATTATTTCAAGAATATATTTTTATATAAATACACACACACACACACACACACACACATTCTTGATATAATAATACATTTTTAATTTAGTAATAATATATAAACATTTTAAAATGCAGTTTTTATATAAATGAATAATAATATATGTTTATACTATAAAATACTATAAAAATACACATAAACAAACACACACACACACATTGCATTACCACATGGTTATACAATATATAATACATTCTTTTCCCATAGAATTTCCAGATATCCATACCACCTAGCCCTAGTTCAGGACTATTGTGTATCGGTATCGGGATGGTAGTTTGACTTACTTAGTGAAGCGGATCTCCAGGTGGGAGGTCAGGTACTCGCGTGGGGTGAAGGTGTGCTCCCAGACCATCATGTTAGGGACGTAGTTGATGGAGAAGCAGAGCTCTGACAAAGCAGTGTGTAGTTTGTCCAGACTGTAAAAAAAACAACAAAAAAAAGACAACAGCCTTAAAAACTCATTTCCTTCAGATTACACAGTCAATCAGGGAAAGCTTAACCAGCACAATAGTGCTGTTCACCATGGGGCCACACCGCTCCTATACTGTTACTACTGCTCATGTGTGTCCATGACAGGCTTTAGGATAAATCCATTTTATATTATAAGGAGGATCTGTTTGAATGTCTGCCAAATGGGAGGATAATACGCTAAAGGCCTCCAGCTGGGTTTTGTTTAACACAGTGATTCTCTAATGGTAAGATCTAATATTGACGCAGACATGCCCTCATTGATGAAAACCATGAATTACAGAAACCAGTACAAGGTAAAATAATATATGACCCAGACTGAATTAAATATGAGTAACAAGTGCTCGACCAGATGAAGAAGAAGAGTGAGTTTCATCCTTACTTGGTGACCAGGAGTCTGTTCTTCCTCATGCTCTCAACCCCAGGTTTCTCTCTCTCTGGTTCACCCTTCTTCCCCGTCTGCTTTTTCGACTTCTTGTTCACGGCCTGACTGATGGTTTTGGCACAATGTTTTGGCAGTAGCTGCACAGAAGAGCAACAGGAAAAATTTTTTTTTTAAAGTCAACATCAAATCAAAATTGACCCTACTTACTTTCTTAATACAAGTTCCTGGTAATATTGTGCACAATTCATCAGTGCACGTTATTATAAATAATAAAACATATGTGCGTTTAGAGTTGGGAATCGAAAACGGTTACATTTTTCTTAGAATAACGGAACTGAATGATTTACATACTACAATAAAGAACCATGGCAAAAAAAATAAATAAATTGTGAGCTTGAGTTGTGAGCCTGCAGCCTGAACAGGATGTAATGAAAGATTGGGTGTCGGGAAATAATAAAGCCCATAAATAGCTATATTTCTGTTGCATTATCCTCGCTGACTGCACACAAAAGCTGCACATGCAGCATTGCCAGTGTAGTCTGTCTCATGAACAAATTACTCTTAAGAGTTGATTCTTCCTAATGAAATTCCTCACTCAAAAACAATCAACATGGTCTCAAACTCATGAGTTTGAATCAGTTTAAATCAATGAACTGGTCATAGTGGTTCTTCAATGACTGAATCACTTGCCTAAGACATGATTCTGTGATATGTACATCCTTGCTTTTAATACATATAACAGTTTTGCATATGGTAATTCAAATGTACTGAACTGAAAGAATTCAACACCTTTTTCAACACCTCTCTTCCCATCACCTGTAACATCCACTTTTTACCATCCAATCAAATCATGATAGAAAAAAATCAAGACCTACCCTAAGACTTTGCCAACTTAATATCTTGTTTCACTTGAAAAAATTTCAGATTACCAAAGAAAAATTGCTTTGATGTTGACCTTAAGATTGTAATTACTGTAAATGTGACTTCCACAGTCCAGAAAAGAGCAAAGCGGGAAATGACTTATGAGCTGCTGTCCTGTTTGCTTACAACATGACGATTACACTCATCAGAGGGGGATGAGAGTAAGTTTATTCATTAAAGTTGACTGTCATCGAATCAGTGCTGTCAACTGTTTTCAGGAAATCAATCACTGTTTAATTTCATTGTGATCATATTGCAATGGAATGGAGCATTCCTGGTGAATTTGCAGAACTCTTTGTAAACCCAGTATAGTTTGTTAAAATCCCAGATATGACATGGAAAATTACAGAACTCCCAAAAGTCCCTCTGTGTTTTGGCAGTGCTGAAAGCGTGTGTGTGCGTCACTGACCTGGTCGCTCAGGGTGCACTGCTCTGTGCATATGTCTGTGATGAGGTTGCGGGCTTGCTTGGCCATCTCGTCCAGGAACATGTTGCAAAGGGACAGGCTGCGGTCTCCGATGTGGTGCCTCTGCAGGGAGGGACAGACAAGGAGACATTAGTTGAGACTACCCTTAGCACAACCCCAATGTTAAGCTAGACTTTTGAGTTTCAGTATAAGTTACGATCCACTTTGCAGCATACATTTAGTAAGGGCAGTGCCAAATATAGGTGTAAAGGTGTCAGTGCATCAAGTGTGTCCTTTTTGCACCACTAGTGGTACCAAACAGAATTGCAGTTCTATTTGGTTCTACGATAGGTACAGAAAATATATCCTTTTACCTTTAGTATCAGTTGTAAAAAACAATATGTCTCAGCTGGCCACCTGTTAAAACCATCTCTAAACAAGCCTTATTCTGACTAAGAACCACCCAATTAAACAGGATGGGGCCACCCGATGGATGCATGAAACAAGCAACAACAGTGGTGTTTAGGGGCTGATCAATCTGAAATGGCCTATAACTAACTACACATTCATACACACATATACAGTTCAAAAGTTTCAACGTTACGATTTTTATTTGTTTTTATGAAATGAATGTTAATTAAGCAAGGATGCACTGAATTGATTAAGAGTTTTTAAACGAATGCTACTCTTTTGAACTTTCTATTCAGCTTTGCCATCACAGGAACTGCATTTTAAACTATATTAAAATGGAAATTAATTCTAAATTGTAGTACTACTTTACTATATACCAGGGTGGAGAAACATCTTATTTGTAAGCATGCCATTAACTGTTGACTATGTGAAAATGATCCTTGAGTGATCCATGGGCATGCTGTCAGAGGCTGAAACTACTCCAACATAAGCTGCTCAGGTGAATTTGGCTCACAGTGAGGTGCTGTTTGTGAACCGTCCCGTGTAAGTGAGCCTCTTTGTTATGGCCCAGCTGGTCTCGTCGCCCCAACTCCCTCCCTAGAGCAAACAGTGCATACTCTCTAAATTACTAATGCAAAAAAAACCTGTGTGGAGTGTGGAGCTGAACCCTTCGCTCCTGCACCGTTTTGACAAAACCCAAACATCATGGAGGAGGCCGGTCCTTCATCACAACAAACAAAAAGTGCCATTTAAAGCTTTGGTGGCTCAACTCAGATTTGACGAGCGCTTTAACACTCTCATCATCTGTTCATAAACACAAATATTCTGCCTCGCTCTTCGTGGGCATCTGAGGGGAAGAGTCTGAGATGGTGCAGGTTGGAAATAACACATCTATCCGATGTGATGCTGAGGCTAACCTCAGTGCAGTGATCTTTTGTTGTTTCTCTAAACCACTGTAAAAAGTTTTCTGTGCGAGGATGGAAATATTCTTGGAAACTTTTAGTGCCTTTCCAACATAAATAAAGCTTGCAGCTGTCCAAAGCTGTGTGGAGTGGACATAGGAGGAAGACCATTTCAGAGACATGCTGAGAGAGGGAGTTTCATGTTTAAATAAGGGAAACCCAAGCCTTCTATGGCTCAATAAATCTCTTTTATTCCTCTAACTGCTCTCAGACAGCTCAATGTTAAGGCCCCACAATGACATGAGAACTCTCATTGTGCTGTTTGTCCGCCAATTAGGAGTGAAAATGTGGGTTTATTTACCAAATTAAATGTACGATGTTTGGCAGGAACAAACACTTGGTGAATGTGCCGGCCGTATACCGGTGGGGGGGAAACAGGGATCTGTTGTGCTCCTCGTGTGCGAAGGGGCTTCCATATGCCCCCGGGGAGCCTGGGTAGCTGCACCGGCGCATGGTTCAATTACAGATTTAATAAATCATGCTTTTCAGCATTTGGTTTTCTGTACACATCCTGATACATGGACCACAGCACTCAATGCTACGTGTTGGGACATTCCAGCTCTAGTAAACTTGTGGAGCCTTCCGGATTCACAGTACGACTCCATCCTGAACCCTCGCATGGGTCGCGGCTAAGCCATGGCGAGACCCGATGGAGAAGAGAAAGGTTATTTTCCAAACTCCTCTTTCTTAAAAGTAACACTGACCATATTCACTAGGGGACATTCACAAACTCACAAAACTGTTTTTTTCCCCCCAAAAAACAGAGTCTGCATAGAAACTAAACAGGAGATTTCAGGACAAGGCAAATAGAATATATTATCTGAACAAATTAAATAAATTAGCTGTCATCTTATTTATAATAACCAATGGAAATGATTACATGAGGCTATGGGTGCTTTCACACTAGCACTTTTGGTGCGCACCCGGGTTCGATTGACGTCAGAGTTCGGTTTGTTTGGATGATGTGAACGCTGCCTTCCGAACTCGGGTGCACACCCGCGAACTGTACCCGAGTCCGCTTAAAAAGGGTGGTCTGGGGTACGGTTCATGTGAACTCTGGTACGGTTTGCTGCTGATGTGATCGTGGAAGTGAACCACTATTAATGACGTATTATTTGATAAAAATGTGTGTTTGTGTTTCACTCTCTTTCCTGACGAGCATGACTGATGCGCTGCAAGCAGAGAGCTGTAGGCCTATATCTCATTTCTGTTCACCTTTAGCGCTCTTTAGAGCATTTGCAGTACATTCGTAAGACAGACGTAAGTGCCATTATGTACCGAAGCTTTGTAAACAAAACGAATGGTTAAAAAACTTAAATATATAAAAGTGCAGAGAGCAATGTTATTCATTTGCCGCTTTTGCGCCGTCGTTACTAAGCAACGGGGTAAACAGCTGCTGGCTTGATGACGCAAACGAACCACCGTTCGGATTAAAATTAAATAATATGAACGCAGTCCAGCGGGGGCAGGGGGAGGGGGGAGCAATCGAACTCGGGTTCGGACCAGGCAAGCGAACCAAGTGTGAAAGCACCCTAAAATCCAATTATTTCAGTACAGACTAGGGCTGGGTGATAAACTGAATATCTGATGATATTTCTGATTATTTAAATTAAACCTCATATTGCATTGATGGAAGATCTTAGAGACTGCAATATCAAAAACAGTTAGACCTGGCAAGTTTCATTAATTTCAATGAATCACTTCAAATTGTATGAATTAAATGAAAAGAACACTTTGAAATTATTCATTTAAATGACCACTGCAAAAATGTAAATGTAAAATAGCAGAATCACATATTATGACATTTTTCATACGTTATATATGTAGGTAAAACATATGTATGTAAATATTGTTTAATTTTATATCGATGCATTTAAATAAAAATAATTGCATAGAATAATTTATTGTGTTTATTTAGCTAAATACTGGAAAATGTTTTTTTATTTAATTTTAATTGCATTAAATATTTGAAAGCAAAAATAAACACACACACACACACATACAAATAACTGAAAAATGTCATATGTGATTCTGCAATATATGGTAAGAAATGGCAGATTTATTTATTTTTTATTTTTTATCGTCCAGCCCTAGTACACCTATCAAAAACAGTTAGACCTGGCAAGTTTCATTAATTTCAATGAATCACTTCAAATTGTATGAATTAAATGAAAAGAACACTTTGAAATTATTCATTTAAATGACCACTGCAAAAATGTAAATGTAAAATAGCAGAATCACATATTATGACATTTTTCATACGTTATATATGTAGGTAAAACATATGTATGTAAATATTGTTTAATTTTATATCGATGCATTTAAATAAAAATAATTGCATAGAATAATTTATTGTGTTTATTTAGCTAAATACTGGAAATGTTTTTTTTATTTAATTTTAATTGCATTAAATATTTGAAAGCAAAAATAAACACACACACACACATACAAATAACTGAAAAATGTCATATGTGATTCTGCAATATATGGTAAGAAATGGCATTTATTTATTTTTTATCGTCCAGCCCTAGTACACACTCACAGTTTCAGACATGAACAATTTGATTAAATTGAAGCTTCATCATCTTCAGAATACTCTTCTCACTCATATCTACAAAATAAAAATCATGAATCACTGTTCTCAGATTAGGTTACTAAAGTGAATATGACATTTGTACTCCTCTTGGGGCATTCTGGACTGATTCCAGGTCAGTATGACTCACCTCTTCAGGGCAGAGCTCATGGGTGCAGCTCATAAAGTGGGTGCAGAGCAGAGGGAAAGAGATGGAGTATCGAGACTGGGACGGCAGTTCGAGACACTGCTGGAACATCTTTTCAAAGGCGCGGCTGTAAAAGCTATCAGAGACACAGAAAGAGAGAGAAAATGGGCTGCCAGTTCACTTCACCGTCTGGTACAGTCATATCTAATCAGTTGAACGGACGCCCCTGTCCGCTTTCCACCCAGCATGAAAGAGAAATATCTAAAAAACAAGAGGCACAACAGACAGTTGCTATGGCCTTCTGAGAACAGATATGCCTTCTGCCAATTGTGGAGCTGGCATTAGACGGTGTTTCCTGCGCCACTGCTGAATTGACAACGTCACGGCAAAAATGAATCATATTTTGCTTAAGTTATGAGCCTGCAGTCTGAATTAAATTGTTGTTAGGTAAAAAGAAACAATTTTACATCATCTTTGTAGGCTGCATGCAAAAAAAAGACAATTAAAGGAATAAAAATAACTAAATTATTATAAATTGGCCAAAAATTCTAATTTTCAAGTTTGAATTGAAATAACATCAATCAATGAACATGTCAGAGCATCTGCAGAATTAACATAATGAACTGCAAGTCAACATAATTTTTATAAATTTTCTGATTTTATTTTTCCTAATTTTATACTGACATCTAAAGCCACTTTTTGCCTATTCAGTGTTTAACTCTATCACATTATTCTCTTTGAATGATCTTTTCTCTCATGTGAGGTCATACCAGAAAATGGAAACGTCAGAAGTCTCCACAAGCATCTCCACCAGAGAGTCCGCCATTTTGGTGTGAAAGATGATGGTGTTCATCATTTTTCCCAGCTCCCTGTGATCTGCCAGTCCTAGCGAGGCCTTGGACACGCTGGTGTAAGCCTAAACACAAAGACAGACATCATCGTTAGCATTAATCTTCAAAGTTCATTAATTATTCTGACAACATTTTCACAATCTTTTCTCAAAGGCTGTGCTTGGTGGGCTTGATTTCCATGAGCAAATCCTCAAGCAAATGAAGAGCATCGAATCAGATTGGAAACTGGACCAAGGCAGAGTCTGAAGAAAAGTGCGGTTTGATGTTTTACCATATCATTAACTTCTGAGAAGGCTTTCTGGGAAATATTTTTGTAAACTTGATACTGTTAAACCAGACAATGTCCAACCAACACAATTTCCTCTCTAGCATACAAGATCAAATGAAGACGTGTGCAAAACAGATTCTCTTTGGTGTTTAAGTAAAAATAAACCTATTTTTTTGCAGCGAAACAGCTGTGCCATCCAGTGCGTTCAGCTTTTGGACAACCTGAACATAAGAAGTGTGAGAAAACTCAAACAACACAAGGATTGCACACGCCCTGCGATGGCTTTCATCATCTAAAGATTGGCCAATTCAAAGAATGCGACATGCCAGGATGATTCCACATGACATTCAGCAGGTGCTAAACTCACAACGCTTGTGGTTATGGAGTCCGGGGAACGACAATAAACATATCGTACAGAACTGAAGTCCACTGCGGAGTAGAAAAAGTATTGAAAAACAGGGCTTATTTTTAGATGTACATTTGCAGACTGCTGCTGCTAGTTTAATCGGCCATAGAGATAAATAGGACTGCACCTTTGGAAACACAAGAGGCCAAATGCAGACGAGCAGACATGAACTGAGTGAATCGTTAGTTGTTATATACTGGCAAGTGCTAGCTCAACAACTGGTCCATTAAACAAGAAAGCATGCTAAATTAAAGGAGAGAAAAGGGCATCCTGCTTCGACCGCAAAATCAAGGCTGCTCTTCAAACTAACTTGCTGCTATCAAACCTGGAGGAGTACTGAATGATTCTAGACATTTTATACACATTAATGGCATTTTATTTAAAGGGGTCATATGATGCTTTTTTAAAGATCATTATTTTGTGTATTTGGTGTAACAGAATATGTTGACATGCTTTAATGTTCAAAAAACACATTATTTTTCAAATACTGTACATTATTGTAAGTCCTCTATGCTCCGCCTCTCTCAAACGCTTCGTTTTCTACAAAGTCCCTCCTTCCGACAAGCGCAGTCTGCTCTGATTGGCCAGCTGACCCAGTGCATTGTGATTGGCCGAACACCGCAAGCACTCGTTGGAAATGTAACGCCCCTTACCATAATCGCGAGCTTCATCTTTCAAAATAAACCACGCGCACACACACACGATGCGCAAAACTCTGCATTTGAACAGTCAATAGCAAATACTTCAACTAATAACAAAACAGTAGCTGATTCAGAATTACCTCCTCTCCTAGGTTCACGAAACGGTCGTCCATAAAATGCATTGCTGTTCTGTTGTAAGTAATCTTAAAGATTCCTAAATGCATCTACTTTCGGAAGGCCAAATAAAGTGCTTTTGCTTTCGCCTAGAAACACACAGCGTCTCTCTGACATGGCTGCTTCAACACTAACTGCGGTTACTGAAACCATGCCTTCTTTCTTTGCGTGAACATTTGGGCGGCATTATGCAAATCTTCCCACATAGTGAGGTAGATATGTGGGGGCGTGTTAGAACGAGCCGTTTTAGGGGGGCGTGGCAGAGTCTTAACTTTGATAAAGAATATCTCTTTGGTTTTGAGACTTTAGTCTTTGCAACTTCAGGGATCTTATCTATGCACAATCAGCTTGTAACACTCCAAAGAGAAAGGAAAACTTGTAATCGCATCATATGACCCCTTTAAAGTCTAATTGGTTTCTTTGACCAAAACAGTCATAAGTTTTAATGATCAGTTTTCCTCTATCTGACCCTTTTTCTTGCTACTATACATTTAAGACTTCTATACTTACACTACCATTCAAATGTTTGGGGATGGTAAGATTTTTAAATGTTTCTGAAGTCTCTTATGCTCACCAAGGCTGCAGTTAAAGTTACTGCAAAGTAGTTTCGCTTTCACAACGAAACACACAGCGCCTTCACGACACGGCGGTGGCGGCAACAATACTACAGCGAGAATAAAAGTTACGCCTTCTTTCTTTGCATGAACATTTGGGCGGCGTTATGCAAATCTTCCCACATTGTGACGTAGATATGTGGGGGCGTGTTAGAACGAGCCGTTTTAGGTAGGCGTGGCTGCCTCTTAACTTTTATAAAGAATATCTCTTTGGATTTGAGACTTTAGTCTTTGCAACTTTATAGATCTTCTTTATGCACCAAGAGCTTGTAACACCCCAAAGAGAAAGGAAAAGTTTAAATCGCATCATATGACCCCTTTAACATCAGCTCACACACCCAATCGACATTCCTTTGGGGGGCGCTGTAGCTCTCTTATTTAACCCTTTTTTAATACACTACAAATATATGTGGGATTATTAGCAGAAATCATACCATGTGTCATACTCGCGGGGACAGTATGCTTGAAAATAATATTTCATGTCTTCCACTGCATTCGTTATTTGTAGTGCGCCAGCCACCCAATAGTGATACGTGTCTTACAATAATGTGTTTTTCAAGCTCTTTAATGATCAGATCGCTGTATTTATGTGAACCAATTCATTAAATTATACGGTTTTCTTTGCGAAAATTCCAAAATTTCAAATTTGTGAAAATTCCACCACCTACTCCGCAAAAACGTCTGTGGCGTCCAAACTTTTATTCCGCACATGTAGCCTATTTAATTAATAAAATGTTCTAAAAGTTTAAGTGGGCTCCAACTCATTAACACAAGTTATATTGTTTTCTTTTCTGAGGTAGCCTGAAGGCTATAACATGTAAGTGACTATTCACAAGCTGTTTTATTCATGGTATAATACAGTAAATGACTGGACATAATATTTAACGTCTTCCATTCATCATTTGTAGCACGCCAGCCACCAAGTAATCGCAATAATTTTGTGCTTTTGTTGCTTTTAATATAACAGCTCAGCTTTCTAATTCTGTCAGTTTTATCACGAAATACAAATTATAAATGTGTTTTCCCTCTTTATAGAGCTCCGGGTGACACGTGAACCATTATGTTTACACCACCATGCTGGCAGGCAGGGACAGCCGGGAGCGAATATGAAATGAATGGCGCCAGCATGAGTTTCAAGGCAACAGAGTTCACTGCGTACTTTAATTCAAAAGACATAGACCTGTACATAGCAAAACTTAATAGATTAAGCATAACAGATCCCTATAATGCCCCAGTGGTGCTTTTAACGTGTAGCCTATCAATAAAGGAACTGATAGATTTCCTGACCTGCAGTATCCTGATATCTACAACTACCTAATCAACTTTCCCTCCTAACGTTACTCCGGAGACTCCTTTAAAAGCCTACAAAAGCCTGGAGGGGTACAAATGGACGCAATCTAATTTTTTTAATGAATATTCAACCTGCCATGCCGTCACTGGAAGGGTAAGTCAAATGTGTTGTTAGCTAACGTAATTGACCCTAGCTGTCCTTGTAGGTAGCCAGCACAGCTATATCACTGTGAGTACAGTAGACATCATAAATGTCATGAAATCTTAATCCCAAATTTTGTGTTGGTTAGAATGTTTTATTGCAGTGAACCATTTTAGTCGTCAATCGGAACGTATTAGGAATACGATAAAATGATTTCCCCTTTGATTTATGGGACAATCGCGTACATATATATATATATATATATATATATATATATATATATAAATAATTATATATATATATAATTATTTATATATATATATATATATATATATATATATATATATATGTACGCGATTGTCCCATAAATCAAAGGGGAAATCATTTTATCGTATTCCTAATACGTTCCGATTGACGACTAAAATGGTTCACTGCAATAAAACATTCTAACCAACACAAAATTTGGGATTAAGATTTCATGACATTTATGATGTCTACTGTACTCACAGTGATATAGCTGTGCTGGCTACCTACAAGGACAGCTAGGGTCAATTACGTTAGCTAACAACACATTTGACTTACCCTTCCAGTGACGTTACTTAAATGTAAAATGTTTTTTCTCTGTTTTGCAATAAAAGACGGCTTCCCTTATTGATCACGACTCGGGTAGATTGCATGTTTTCTTGCATGGCGGGATGTTGGACTCATGAAAAATAATCACGTAGTTTGTATTTGCTAAAACTGATTTACTGAAGTCAAAACACGAACAGAAATTGGCTTTAGCGCGAGCGCTGCTTAATTGTGAAGTGGGCGCAACCAGCCAGCAAGAGGATTCTGCAGCCTTCCTCAAACTGTTATGTTCAGGACTTTCTGATTTACTTAACGAATATTGTGTGAGGGGGCAAGAAACGGGTCAAGAGAGGTCACGTACGGGACACATAAATTAAGCCCAATATACGGGACGGTTGGCAACCCTAGCTTTCCCCTGCCTGTTCTGGCATCCTGGCGCACAGCAGCTGTCCACCATGTTGAAATAGTAAGGTTTGTAATTTCTAAATAATCTGGTTTTAAATTATTGTTGTACAACTGTCGATACCAATACTCTAGCACTCTCCTGATTGCCTGCCAAAATGGTGGAGTTTAGAGTGCGTGACGTCAACCTCCGGAGCTCTATTTCAAGTTTATAGCTAGATATTAAAGTGAAGGAACATCAGAAGGCATGAAAAAACAGAATAGCTTAATTTATAATGAAAATAATGTCTCATTGTAATCAGACTCACATGCCGCTTAAACTGAAGCGAATACAGCGATCTGTCACGCCACATTAAAGAGTGTGAAAAAACATTATTGTAATATATTGTTTGTATTTCGCTATAAATCTGACAGATTTTGAAAGCAGAGACTTTGGAATATCTCCCAGTGCTCCCAATCCGGGCCATTTGCATGTGCAAAAGGCTAGAATATACTCTCAAAATATTATAACTTTCATCTTTATTCTCGAAACATTTCGACTTAATTCTCGAAACATTCCGACTTAATTCTCGAAACATTCCGACTTAATTCTCGAAACATTCCGACTTAATTCTCGAAACATTCCGACTTAATTCTCGAAACATTCCGACTTAATTCTCGAAACATTCCGACTTTATTCTCGTAATATTTCGACTTTATACTAGAAACATTTCTACTATATTCTCGTAATATTTTGACTTTATTCTCGAAACTTTAATCTAGTAATCTTAGATTTTTAATTTTTTTTAATGTGGCTCTAAAACGGCGTCGTAATATATATATGAATATATTTTGGGGGGGGGGGGGGGGGGCTTAGTTTTTATGGGGGGGGGGGGGGCTGGACATGTTTTAGTGCGATTCACCTACATAGCTGAACATATACATCCACCCACCCACATCTGTCATCAGCCTCACACACACTCAGTTGCTCTATAGCTGGCTGTTTAAATCCTTGAATTTGCTTTGTTCTGGCAAACTGAGAGCAGTCTGAGCTCAAGACCTTGCAGTGAATAAACTCTGCTGTTATTAGGGTCGATTTGTTTTTGTGGCCATGTGAAAGAGAGGACTCTGGCTGCGAAAAGAGCGAAGGAGAGTGGGAAAAGGCTCAAACACAGAAAACAGTTGTTCAGCTGTGAGAAATGTTCACATTCCGCAGATAGCAGCTTCTCCTGCTGAAGAGGCGAATTGAAACCCTCCTGTGTGAGGAGGTTCAGGCCTGTTTTTGAAGCGATCTTCTAGGTTCAACGCAAATCAAGTTCTTTTTGTGGAATTTGTGGCATTACCACAAGGAAATCATCTGTCCAAAAAAGCAAAAATTGTGGTAACTCTAATGGAACTGCAATAAACACTGATTCAGTCATATAAGATGACGTAAGGCAAGTGTGACAGAATCATTTACTGAACATGCCAGTGTAAAGTTACATGGAATTATTAAACATCATGACCACATAATGTCGGGTAAACCAGGTAACTTTAACTTGACACTGGCAAGGTTACCAAAGAGGAACTGATTAAATAAAGCAACTTCCACCAACAGGAATTGCATCAGTAATGCACTACAAATTCATCCAAACAGGAAATGCATATACAATATAAAAGCTTAAATAAATAAATAGGTTTAACATTATAAATGTTTTACTAACACTACGGATCAATTTTAGGCATCGGTGCCAAATAAAAGTCTTAATTTCTTTAAAATTTGGAACCATCTGTTTCGCTGAACAATGAGAGATCTCATTCTATTAAAGTAGTATTATTATTATTTATTATTACATATTAAAGTAATACAGTTAAAAAATACTAAACTGCAGCAATATGAATCTAAAGAGAACCATAAATAAATGCTGACTATTTAAACGTAAAAGGTTCCCACAAATTAATTTCCAATACTTTAATAATTCTTTATATAAATATAAATACACACATATAAAAATGCCAAGATAATATTCATTTCCATTATTTTTTTTTGACCTGCAAAGCATCATTTTGAAATTCCCTCATATTTCCAGGTTTTCCATGATCATGTAAGGGCTTTAAAAAAAACTCCACTGCAAGTATGTTTAGGTATCTGTGAGAGAATGCCTTAAATTCTTTTGATAAAGATTCACTTTTGAACTGAGAACATTCTTTTAAGGAAGAGGTCAAATGGCTTCTCTGCTGTGGGACTAGCCAGACCAACACACAGGAAACACATTTGAGCGCTAGCTGGACCATCCCAAAGCCTGCAGTCCAGATCCATTTGAGGTCCACACATGCTCACAGATCCTCAAAATCACATGAACAAGCTTGTCTCTCCATCTCCGCTTCCATTCCCACCCACATGCGTATTCCACAGGGACGAAGTCTGATTTATTTGAGCCTGGATGAAAGGCGCAGGCTCTTCTTGAATAATCAGAGCTTCAAAAGAACAGCATGCATTGTGGTTCATTTCTAAGTAATTCCAAATCAAGGCATTTTTCATACAGCATGTAAAAATGTTGCTTTTATTCGGAAAACAAAGGATAAGCAAACTTTTGCAACAAACATTCGTCAGCATGAAACTATTTGTTGTGTTGCATCTCAAACTGTGAGAGCATTAGTTGCTTTATGTTAACCGGCATCTGCTAATTAGTAAGAGGGAAGCAGAGATAAGAGCTGTTAATTATGTCTGATTAGGATCAGAGGAAGCAAACACCATGTATTGACCCAGCTCAGATGACTGATATCATTTTACCTGCAGTCTAAACCAGTCCAGCCTCATCCCTCTGAAATCGAACACGTCACCATCTTCAACTGCAACAGACATCCAAACAATTTGTTATATCACAAAATAAAAAACATATATATTAAGTACACCAGCCTTTATTATTTATTCAATTTGCATCCATAAAGTTCTGAAGTACATTTCATTGCAAAGTACTGATTTATTTTATTTTTTTGCTAAATGCAAAATTTGGCCAGTGACCTTGATTATTTAATACATAACCCCCTTTTTTAATTTATACAAAAATAACGACATTGTAATCCATGCTGTTACCATGAAATAATTTGATGCACAGATTTTACAGATTATAAAACAAACCAATAAATCTTAGAAAATAAGACCAGGGACTTCAATTCTGACTTCATGTTTTTAAGCACATTATGAATGTTTAAATAAGAGAAGTTCACTACCTTGTTTAACACTGAGAGAGGTCATAGTGTTCACGAAGGATGACATAATAATGGACTCATCCTCTGGGCAGACAGACAGGTTCTACAAGGGAGGAAGACACGATTATTTTACCATTTGCATGTGTATTTTAAAAGTAAAACAGCATGACGAGCAAGCCTTGCTCCTAATTGGAGTCTCAAAGCTGAATGACAATACTAGTTCTCCATCTAGTGGTGAAGTTCATGTATTTCGCCTCACATTCTTCCAGACACCCTTTGTGAGATCCTGTGAATGATTCATAATGTGACTAATGTTC